GTTCTGCTTTGTGTCAATAAATTGGTGATCCATTTAATAAACATTTAATGTCAGTAAGCTTTTACATAAAACAAATATAAAAAAAAAATATTTCTCACTGCTTTTTCCAGTTGTTTGCAAACCAAGCCATATTTAATAGTAAAGTAGCAGCACTTTTAATTTTTTTTATAGTATCCATTTTTCCTCTTCTATTTATAAAGTCTGTCTCTTACCTCTCGTGCCCACTGCACTGTTTTGATCGACGTACCTAATAATCGTTGAGCTCGCGAGCACTTGTTCTCGAGGTMAAATACCCGAAATATGTCGGCAGTAGCTGCCTTCAGACAAACTGAAGCTAACAAGCCGTCAGTCGGTTTGTAGCCTCCTTAAATACTGTGCTRGGACGCCGGGTGACTCCTGTGTTGCAGCGGTTCAGAGTTCTCGGGAAACTCCGACTGTTCGGTTTCGTTTTCCTAAAGTGACGTCAGCGTCAGGCGGGGAGCAGGGCAAACACGCGCGCGCGCGCGCGGCTGTCAAATTATTACAATTTCTAATCTATTAATTCCAAGGTAGCTGTGAATTAATCACGATTAATCTTAAACTTAAAACAAAACTTTATTGCATATTGGTAAAATAAATTACTTGAGTTATTAATTAATGTCTTTATTTGGAAAAAAAGGGGGGGTGCTTAAGAAATACATACCACAATAATAAATCATGAAAATATCACCTCGATTGCACAAAAACAACAAAAATCAGGACCTAAAAAATGCTCCAAACATATTTGAGGCAGTTAAATTTTGTGCAGAATAATGAGGTTAAATCAAGAATTCAAAGATTTTCATTCCAAATGAGTTCTACATGAGGAATGAAAGATAGATACTAAGGTAACAGCTGTCAGCAAAACATRAATAAATAAAATAAGCCATAAGAAGACAAAAAGAAAAAAACAACAACTGAACATATTGTGTTGCACTTGGAGTTTTTTTTTTTAATTTAAGCTTTATTTATCCAGGTAAACTGTTTGAGAACCACTTCTCATTTACAGGCATGACCTGACGTGCACTGAGTGCATTACAATATATTCAGCCATTGTAAAGTGATTATAAATTTTTTAATCATGCCCACGCAGCACTAAAATTAATCAGTTAACTCGATTACTTTCACAGCCCTAATA